CACTAGAGCAGTCCGAACCCACAATCCGGATTTACCTAGATTCAGTAACTTACACTGAGTCCGAAGACAAGTACTTGCGAGCCGAAGCCGCTACCGTTATCTACTACCCCCTTGTAGAGTTCACCCAAACCCCAGTACCTACTTTACAGACTATCAACCGTATCCCTAACTATCCCAAACTACCAATCCAGATGGCCCAGAAGAGATTTTTTCCCCTGGTATCTGCAACTAAGCAGATCCTTTTCCTCCGGTTCTGACGGACTCGGTCCCGGCGGCCTGGTTGGTGGGGTGCCTTGCTAAACACCAGTCCTCGTTCAGTTTTGTTAGTTCTCCGGTGGCAATCTTTTACGTAATACCATCGAAGATCTGTACTACCTCTCTACTTGGGTCTTGCCAAGTGGGCGTCCATCTTTCCGGTTCCTTGAATTAACACAATCCGGAACATTTTGTGTAACTCATATATTACGCGAATGCCCTATGATCTTCCAATCTTGTTGGTACCACCAAGGTTACAGAGATCCCGTTCTGACCGATCATCGAAAAACAATAGCCGTCGTACAAGTAGAATATTTGAAATTCGTCGCCAGTGGGTTTCGAACCCCTTATCTGGCCGACATATCGCTTGGGGGTGCAACAACTTAACCACTTCACTAAGTCGCCACACCCTTTTTATAACAAGTTTTTATTTAATTGAATGACAATATAATGATAAGAATTAATGTTAATTATTTAATTCAACAAGTTTATTTAATAAAAAAGAATTATATTACTTTATTTATAGCAATAATTAGCAAATACAAACATTATCAGTTTTTATTTTTACTTATAAAGATATTAGTAATTCAAGTTTTCTGAACTCTATATTGTGTCCATAAATCCTTTTCTAGCGATCAAGCTTTTACAGGTTTAAGATTGTTCAATGGATACAGTTTGCGATTAGGATTAAATAGTGCTTTACTTTACATATTGATTAATAGTAATAGTAAGCAAAGATTCATATCAATTTATATTTTAAATCCAGTATTTAAAAAATTTTTTTTTAAATAAGACTTTTTTTTTAATCAAACGATTTAAAAAATATAAACTTTAATTTTCGTGGTCTTATTTTTTTTATAAAAAAAAATGAGCGAATCTCATTTTGATGAAAATTTTTAAGATAATACCTCACAAGATGAAAATTTTCAAAGCAAAAATCTCTAAGAATCTATTCAAAAAAAGTCTGCTAGACGACTATTTGCAGGAGTTTGGAATTTCTTCGACAAAGGTTCTTCTGTAAAAAGTCATTATTCAGAACAGTGTAAGGAATACGATGCATTCTGAGCACGTGCCAAACCTGTAGATTTAGAAAAATACTTGGCTTTAGATTGTCCTAATCAAAATAAGAATATTATAGATTTCTATACTCAAATTATTGCTAATCAACAAGGCCGTAGCCAGGCTGCATCTCAAGAAATTACATCTGGTGTTGAACTAAGTAAAAAAAAACATAAACTAGCAGGTGATCAAGCATCATTATCAGAGTTTTTAGAAAGCACCAAATTAACTCCACAGCATAAAAATAATATTAATTCAGCTTTAATCAAAGTATTTATAGTATGTAATATTCCTTTTTACGTTATTAGCAATCCATATTTTATTGATACATTACGAGCATTACGAGAATTATGGCCTGAATATCAACCACTGTCAAGACAATTACTTGCAGATCGATTATTAAATGCTGAAATTATTAAACTCAATCAAAATATTAGAAATATTTTAGAAAAAGCCAACAATTTAACTCTTGGTATTTTTTTTATAATTATTTTTACAGACCATTTATCCAATATCATACAGATAGCAATTTAGTATTTTATTAGTTATATATATTGTAAGTGGGAATAGAACTATAATAGATTCAGAATCTACTTAGATTAGAATAGAATAATTATATTAACAATCCTCACTCTAACCTTAAAAATTACAAATCAACTTAAATTTTATTCTCACTTACGACATATATATTGTTAGTAAATTGCTATCCAGCATGATATTAGATAAATAGTTATAAGAAAATAACTATCAGAGAAATGAGACGTAATCTTATTTTATATTTTAAAATAGGTTTAGACAGATGGACAGATTCAAGTGGAAAATCATTATGGAACTTTGTAATTCATACATCTGCAGAATGAGAATATCTTTGGAAATTAGTTGACTTATCTGATCAGAGTCATACTGGAGAAACATTACAAGAATACATTCAAAAAATATTTGATGAACTTGGTGCATATAAGTTTGAAGCTATAGTAACCGATTGTGCGACGATTAATTTCTGAAATATATCCACATATTTTAAATTTACGTTGTATTGTGCATTGTATGAATTTAATTTTCAATAATATTTTTTTTTTTTTATTATTCCATAATATCAGAGTAGAAACTTTATTACATTTTTAGAAAACAAAAGTTCTAAGATTA